ATTCTTCAATTTCATTCCAAGAGAATTGAAAAAGCTCCATCGAGAACAGGAAGTGAACAAGAATTTACAAATAAAAAAAGCTGAACAGCAGGCTAGATTTCTCCATATAAAGAAGGAAATAACCTGGTAGAAACATGGAAATACTGACTACATTTAACTGAAATTCTGTAAGTCCCTAGACTGTTTTTTGCTGCTGGACATTTTTACAACCCTGATAAGAAAATAACATTATAACATAAGATGAGAACAGCCATACTGGCTCATATCAAAGGTATATTTAGCTCTGGGCTAAGTGTATAGGCATTTGGATCTGCCAATTTCAAGTGATTACCGCTAGTGCTAGACTGGCAGAGATAATAACTTACAATATATCTTCTCAACTTGCTCATGAATTTATGCAATTCCTATCATCTCCACTTTGTTTCCCTTCTTCTATTGAGCATGACAGGCAGAGAAGTCAGTCTATTTAGTTATTCTTTGTACTAAAGCTCATCTCTGTCTTTGATTGCCTATGCAACCTCTCTGGTACCTTTCCTGTTTTTTCAATATGCCTGTTAAGGTAAGGAAAATCAGAAAGGCACGTTTTTCCAAGCACAGATGCAGCACTGGTTTAAACAGCGGAATAACAATTTCCTGAACTATTTCTTTTTCTTGTTATAATGATTCCTGCAGGGAAAGCTGCAGTCTATTTACTTTTCAACTGCTGGCAAGCAAAGAACTGCTGGTTCCATAGAACTAACTACTGTTAACATTGAGATGGAAAGATCAACTCAGAATGCAGTTTATGGAGATTAGGATTATTCTTCTCCTATATGGATCGGTTCAGATTTGTCTACATAAAATTTGGAGCTTGTTTAATACTTTTTGGAAATCAGACAAGATCTCCCTCATCCACTTGCTAGTTAATTTCTTCAAAGAACCCCAGTGTGTTCATGATGCACTCTTACAAAATGCCTGGGGACTCTCTACCGCTGTATCATGTTTACTCTCTCCTCAGCCAATTCTTTTCTTCAGACAGTATCCCATCAGTTTCCTTACAATGGTCTCCAGGCTTACTGGGCAGAAGTTCCACCCACCTTTTTAAAACGCAGCACTGCATTTCTCGTTTTGCTGATGCTGAGGATGTTTCAGGTGAGATGACATCCACCCCAGTCAGCAATTCAGCTGTTTCTACCGTGAGTTTCTTTACAATGATGTTTCAAACCTCTAAGTAACCTCTGGTCAGCATGATATTTGAATGCAACAAGTCCTTTAAAAGTTTAATAATTATTCCTGAAGAAACATGACATATTCTTCAAAATATTTTGTCAAAAATATGTCAAAACAGCCTATTATCAGGCCTGACAAATTTCAGACCTGGTCTAATGACATTTTTAAGGTCTAGTTTCTTGGGCACCCTCCAGACAGGAAACATCTGGTTTGTCCCATTAGAAACCTAAGCCTTTACTTCTAGATGTGCCTTATACAAAAGACTGATTTTCAAAAACAGAATATAAGAGATTTGCATTTATCCTGGGCTTTCTTTGATTGTATCAGGTACTGTACATTAATTGCAAGCACTGTGAGTGTGCCGTTGTATTTCCTGATTGGGCCTGGGGTTTTTTTTCTGATCTATATTGTCATTTGAGCTCTTTTAATAGCATCAGTTGCATGCTATAAAAATGTACCAGTTACATATAACTGGCAGACTGCTAAAAGTCCTGATTTTCAACCTCAAGTGCTCAGGTAGTGTGTTAACAGAATAAGAAAGGGTGCATTACCCCACAGAATACCCTGTCTAATTACAAGGCAAAGTGGGAATAGAAAAGGATAATGTGATGATATTTATCTGTACAGAAGGCAGTAGTCGATACACACTGGCAGCTTAATTATTGTGGGGGGGGTGTTATAGGCAATGCAAAATTTTAAGAAGGAACTTAAGATGAATAACAAAGGGCTGCTTTCCAGATATTTTCAAGGAGTCTTCCAAGTGTGAATTGTTACACGGGAAAATTATAGAGGTATTTATTTGAAAATGTAACAAGTAGACTCTCACAGAATGAGAAAGGAGAGGCTCTAAAAGATTTTCAGACACAAGACAAGCTCATGTATTGTATGACCCAAGTAGGAGGAGAGAGCTGGGAGAAGAAAAATCAGATCTGTTAAAAAAAAAAAAGAGGCAAAGTCGGAATGTTATTTTTACAGCATTTCAGACAGTTATGAACAAGAAAAGACTCCATTTATCTTGCCAAAAGGTTAAAAAGTTGCATAATAAAACTTGACATGACCTGAGCTTTACGTACAGATATATACAAATGACTATCTATCTCCAAGATCCTAGACAGAAAGAATCTGTCAGACACAGGGGAAGCCTGAATGTGAAAAATGAAAAGGATATGTAAGTCAGAGAGGATGTCTGCCACAGAGCGATCAGAGAGCGCTAGAGGCATATACAAAATGCGGTAAGGCTCCATATTAACAATACGGAATTTGCACTAAGTCCAGAAAAACACAGGTTAGAGACAGATCCAGGTTTTACCATCTATAGCTGGTGACTCTGGATTATAGTCAGTCCCTAAATTAATATTTGCAAATGCTGTTAACCCCATAGATCAGGTAACAGGGAAAGCGTGACGGGGATTCAGGACAGAATGCAGTGGATAGAAACATTGAAAAGGAGTATCCCGTAAAGGACACGCCGAAGGATAACGAGAGAAGAACAGATGAAAGGAAATTGTACTACAGCATCCATCTCTTCCATTATTTTAACCATTCAATCAGATTATTTCAGTATTTAGATCAAATAATTTCTGCACTCTCCTGATGTTTGCCCGAATACTTGATGCAGTGGAAGGACTCCATTGAGTTAAACGGGCTTTGAATCAGTCTCTGCCCTGCCCTCTCAAACCTGACAAACAATGGGCAACTTGCCAAAATCAAATTAGCACATCAAACTATTGTTAGCACTAATTAACTAGTAAATCAACAGCTAGTTAACTAATTAGCATATCAGTGCTCCCCAGAGTCAAGTAATTTATTATTTTAGTTTCAGCAAATATCCCTACCAAGTATAGTGATGCAAGTGTACGATGTTTTAGAAACATGTTTCTTTATGATTTGAAAATGAGATGTAACAGATCTACATTTTTAGAAACAGTCTTGTTTGAGAGTAAGAAAACAAAGAGCCTGTTTTGATTATAAAGCTAATTGATTTTTGAGCCCTAAAGTAATATGTGGTTAGAGTTGCATGCAATTGTCGTCTTTGATCCAGCAGACTTGGTTTAAATTGCGTGAATCAACTGCTCAGACTCCATCTTATTCAGAGCATGGGGATTTTTATTTGATGTAGACCAAAGTTTCAAGTGTTTCACTATCTGTTTTTCCTAGCTAAGAGGGGGAAAGTTAGTACTCTGGCTCTGCTCTTCAGTTTTCTGTCTTTTCTCACAACCTCTTTTATGGAATATAGAACACATGGGTTGGTCTTTGGAAGCTATATTGCAATTTATAGTAGTTTTCAATAATATGCTATATTTACTTTCATACAGTAGTAAATTTTACTTCTTATGTGCACTGAGAAATTATTTTAAAACTGTTGTGTTTTCTTGAGAAAACTTTACTTATGTTTTAGGCAAGCAGACATTTTCTGTACACAAAAAAAAGAATGTGTTTTACATGTATCCAGTTCTATAGCTCACGGATCATGTGCTTACACAAGTGGAATAAGGTTTTTCCTAAGGCAATCAATACTTCTCTATTCCTATGAAATATTATATTTTAAACCATTAGGCGTTATCTTTTATATTTCACTAAAATATGAAAAGTAAACCAGTGGGGGGAATCAAAGGATTCACACGGCACAGGGACAAACTCAGTACCCCGCAGTTAACAGAGCAAGCTGCTCAAAAGATGTTTTTCTGCTAATAAGAGTTTGGACTCATTCACCCAGCCAATGGTTGCAGTAGCTGAAGGCACTGCCCTTGACTTTTTCTTGCCATTCCGCTGCTGAAGTTCACTGCCCCTGCAGCTACGTGCTGGGATCAGAAGCGCGCCCGGCTCTCAGCTGCCTCACCACATACTCTCGCTCCTCAGATCAGCTCTTCCTCCACCTTCGATTTGCACCAAGATGCCAAACTCTGCACGGAAGTGACCAATGTGCACACATGAGTTTCCTCCTGCCAACTCTGCTTATAGGGACAGTGGTCTTCAATGAAAGAGGACTAGCAATGTCTAGGAAAACTCACTAGCTGTTTCCAGATTTGCCACATTCCTTTGCCAGAACCTCTGCTCGCTGGTTATTCTCTTTTTACACTCTGTCCCAAGGCTGAAATTTCTCAGTTTCAAAATCTATCAATCGTCCTGCTTTTATTTGTGAAGATTGACAGCTAAAATCCAGGATATCATATGGCAGAGATGCATATATTTCTCTCTCACTTAGAAACACCTTCAGCATATTAGCAAGACTGACTGAAAAAGGCTTAAGGACACAAGCAGGTATGTGTTTTACATATTTGAATCCAGTTTTCAGGAGGAAAAAAAAAAAAAACCCACAACTTAATGTATTCTCTTCAAATAAGAGATTCTGTCAGGATTTTCTTCCAAAATTTTGTCTGGCTGCTTGGATAAACCAATTCTAACTAAGACTGAATAGGAGGATTTTAGGTAAGCAGAAATAACTATCTGAATTAAAGTGATTATGGTTCACTCTTAATTTTAATTTAATTTAGTTTTGCAACAAACTGTACAGATTGTAAGAGAAATTCTCTGCTGCCTTTGAAAGAAAGCGCTCACAGCAGCAGGAGACATTCATATGTGTTACTCGTCTAATAAATGACCAGCATTGCATTACAGAGAATTTCTAGGGGTTTTAGAGTGCCTTTTGCAGTCCCACCTACTATAACCCTGTTTAACTTACAACCTACTCTCAAATTGTAGTATCAGTGAGATGACTACAAGCTAAAAATTAATCTGATTGCAGTAGAAATACATTAACTTAAATAATTCACAGCAACATGCAGACTGACCTGTCCAGTAATAGGTTAGGTGCAAATAAAAGCTTTCCTGGGTGTTCCATGGAGCGCCAGACTAAGCCAATCATCAGTATCTCTAACCAGGCACATTCCAGTAGATGGACCTGATCATGGAGTGTTAAATCCACAAATCCTGAAAGAATAAATAGGAGACAGTAAAAACACTCCAGTTTTGTAAGTGGAACAACATTATTCAGAGAATCAGGTTAAAAAGTTCAACGGAGCTGGATAACCAAAAAGAAAAAGCAATAAAACAGACATTTGGCTGAGTTTTGACTATTATTAGGTCCACTGTGGCTCCATCCTACAGAACAGCCAGCACTTTCTGTGCTAAGCCAAAGCCCCCCGTTTGTGCCCTGGCCGCAGCGTGCCCCAAGAGCCGGGCAGGAGCCGGGTGAGCATCTCCGTCCCCACGTCTGCCGCTCGAGGGCTGGGCAGTCGGGCGCACGCTGCCGAGAGGGGCAGCCGCCTGCTCCGGTCCCATGGTGCCTGGGTCAAGATGGAGGGAAAATGGAAAAATGCCTCTCATAAAACGGAATGATAGCTCTAATCAGCTAATCCCAGAACACTTTTCCTAGTGGAATGCTGTTTTACAGACTCGTGAAAAATCTGCCGTGCTGCAAGTGCCATACCTGTGTGGAGGAGCCCCCAGCACAGCATTTCAAACAAACTAGCAAGCAAATGCCGATCACTGCGCAACCAGTACTCGCTGGTGAACCACTTGCTTGTATTTCTATCGGACCATAGCTCCTGGAGGAAGGAGGTGACCCTTCTTACTCTGTATTTAAACAAAGCTAGAAACAATAAATGCGAAATTGCTTATAGCAGTACTGAACTACGAATGTGAAAGAATAACAATGAAGGTAGGCATGAAAGCATAATGACAGTGGTCATTCGTGCGTTCATTTCATGGAACAGATTACATCATTCTCTATTTGAGCTTCTCACTTTTCATGAACACCTCTCCTCTGAGGACAGGCTGAGAGAGCTGGGATTGTTCAGCCTGGAGAAGAGGAGGCTCCGGGGAGACCTTATTGTGGACTACCAATACTAAAAAGGCACTTACAAGAAATATGGGGACAGACTTTTTAGCAGGGCCTGTTGCGCTAGGACAAGGGGTAATGGTTTTAAACTAAAAGAGGGCAGATTCAGACTAGATCTAAGGAAGAAATGTTTCACACTGAGGGTGGTGAGACACTGGCACAGGTTGCCCAGAGAGGTGGTAGATGCCCCATCCCTGGAAACATTCCAGGTCAGGTTGGACGGGGCTCTGAGCAACCTGGTCTAGTTGAAGCTGTCCCTGCTCATTGCAGAGGGGTTGGACTAGATGGCCTTTAAAGGTCCCTTCCAACCCAAACCAGTCTATGAGACTATGGTTCCATGAGTGTTACTTTCAATCCAAAGATGTAAGTGAAGGGAAGATTGCGTAATACAATTTATTGGATCCTAGCATAAGTTATTCTTTCAAATTAGGATGAACTTGCTAAAATGAAATGTGTAGAAGTTCCCTTAAAACAGATCTTATTTATCATTTACTCAGTGTTATATGTGAAACACATTATTGAACTTTGCCTTTTTTTGCAATTGTGATTGATTCACATTAGTTTTCAGAATATAGTTTTCAGGATAAACTACCTACCCATCCCAGTAAATGGCAGCGATTTTGCTTCAATACTGTGTCCTCACTAGAGGTATATACTGAGTTAGTTTCAAGGAATATATCTGACATACTCTCAAGTACTATCTTGAGAAAAGGAGAAAAAAGGCAAATATTTTTGAAGTTAAATATCATGCTGTGAATTTAAAAAAAAACCACAGAGAGAAAGAAGGAACAAAATATAGCTCACAATAACTTAGAAAATATTATGTTCTGCAAAAGAGTTTTTGATATAATTATTTTTAATTAAAACTTCTGAGAGAGCTAATCAGTCTATTCATAAAGAATCATTCACTAAAAGGAAACAGCTTTGACAAGTCTGAAATAAAACTTATCTGGCAATCATTAAGAGTGAATTTAGACAGTTGCAGTACCTGCTTTTTGATGAAAATGGTACTTATTGGGGAAAAAAAAGTTGTCATTTTTCCTTTATTACCATATGCAAAAATGACTTTCAGACTTCACAGACTGATAGAACGGCGTTTGCCTGAGTCACCAAACAGCCTGAAGCAATAGAGCTGAAGCTCAAAAGAGCAACTTTCTTAACTACAAAGCATTGATTACAGCACTCAGGAATGAAATCGGCAGAAAGAAACTGCTGTCTGTATATGGAGAACAAAAAATAAACACCATGTTTCCTATTAGGTATCACCTTCATATGACAACACGTAATACGGTGGTTTTAGCTATGTTTGAAGAGTACGGCAGCAACGCGGGGACACAAGCCCCCGTGGGGTGTCTGAAGTTTGCGATCAGTGCTTTACCGTTACATCGCCAGCATTTCGCGTGGCCGCACGCTGTTCTGCCGTGGATTGTTTTGATTGTTACAGAAAAACTGAGCTTGTTACAAGGACGGTAATCCACTTTCCTGTAAAACTGCTCATTCTACAATATTCTGGATGCCAGAATGCTTCGTTGTGTTCTGCACGCTCTTGGTCTTTACTTTTACTACAGCTGTTCTCAAAGCCCTTTTAAGACTCATCTTTTTATTAGCTCTATTTTTTCCCACTCCCACATATGAAATTTCAGATTGCACTGAGGCTAAGTAATCTGCACAAAAACTAAAGAGAGAAAGTGAAAAAGAAAGCTAATAAATAACCTCACTTGCACTGTACAGGAGAGGTATTTTGTTAGCCTGCTCTGAGAATAGAAATATACTGCCCAACAATGCTAACATCTTTTAAAATACTTGAACAGGAATACTTTGCATTAAAAAGTCCTAAAAGGGTTGACCAATATTGTTGCTGTCTGGAATATTAACTCTGGTTTCAGTGAAGCTAAGGAAGTTTCTAAAAACTCAGATGAAAAAGAAAACTCATCATGAGTCCATAGTTTAAAGCATTAAATGATCCATCAGGCTGGCATCTACTTTGGGTTCTATAACAAAGCAACTAATACAAACCTTGATTAATGCAGGTTTAAAAGTCTGTAATATAATAATACTCACCAACTGTAATTCATAAAAAACCTTCTCAAATTAACTTGATGGCATTTTAGGTGATATTATAAGTTTAGTTGATAAAAATAATAGTTTTGATGGAACAGACTTGTACGAGACATTTGATTTCATAAAAACATGGAACAGATTAACTGAATTAAAATATTTTAAATTACACATCTCAGTGTGTAATGGCAAAAGGCTAATGAACTGAACTGAAGCGTTTCTAGAGGAATGCCATACAGTTTACTACTTTTTACCTGAGACAATTTTTCTAATGATGACATGGAAAAAAACCGAAAATCATGATTCAGATAACATGACTGCGTGTGGGAAATAATGCAAAAAGCAGGTTCATAATGTAAGCAAATCTAAATTACTCACTAGCTTCATCATAAAAAATACAGACATAAGTTTAAAACCAAGAATATAAGGCATATATACAAGATGGAAACAGTAGCAGCCATGGAGAGGACTTGGAAAGGATACAGAAAAATCAGCCCAGTTTGAGCTTCCAGTGGGAAGCTACATCTAATAAAGATGATGAACTCTATAAAAAGCCAGAGGAACCCTGACAGACTAAGGAGGTTAAGTTACCTCTGTGTTACCTTGAATCTGGTAACGGTTCTTCAAGCAGGATGAGAAGTTGTACAGAATGATAGAGAAACGCCAAAATGAATAAAGCATTGAAAAACATGCCCTCTAGTGAGGAATAAGAGGAATTTAGTTACTCTTTATGATGCTAAATAGGCTAAAGGTGTTAAAGGACTGCAATCTAAAGAAAAAGAGAACGACATTTCAAAAGGTAATGGAGTAACAGACAAAAGCCCATGCTGGAAGCTAAACCTGCTGCCAGCCAGACTACAAATGAGGGGCCATTGTTAACAACAAAAGTAGTTGTTATCTAGGCAACATACTAAGTTTCCAAGAATCTGCTACCGTTAGAAATGTTAATCAAGATTTAATTATTATTTTTAAGACATACTCTTGTTCAAGCAAGCTAATTCAGAATAATCTTACAGAAGGTTAAATTAAATGATGAATAAATCATTAGTCACTTCATCGCTCGGAGCATGCTGCACTTTAATGTCACTAAATTTGTGTAGATGTGCACTGCATTCTGAAATATCAGTGTTCTTTTAATGCTGGCAAGTTTTGAAAGAAAAAGTATCTTTGAATTCTAAAATTTTGGTTATTGTGCTTTAAGAAGAAAGAAAAACCCTCACTTCACTGTTGACAAATTAGTTACTTGCATCTTATGGATATAACCTACATCTGACTCTATACATCAGACTGACCAATTGCATGACCTTATGAGACATATCAAAATCCCTTTGAGGCCAAAACCCACAAGACTTAACCATTCATATGCCTGGTAGGAGAGAAACACTGACAGAATAAAAGCCATGGCTGAACCATCCGTTTTTCATATACAGAACAGGTAACGGTATTTTTGAGTGATTGCCAACACAGCACACAATCGTTGTTCCATGAATTCTTGTATAAACCTGGAAATTTGAACTTCTGAAAAGCCAGAAAGGTCTTCTAATCACTCAGCTAAGAATAGGTGGCAAATAAATTTATGTTATATGTAGAGCACAAAACAATAAACTGATTATCCTTTCTAATATAAAGCAGCAGTATGTGCCGCATCAGTGACAGTATGATACAAATCTCCCTCTTCCAGACAATAAGATACCCTGAAGCAGCAGCGGGCCCATGGAGGAAAAGCTATTAAAAGTCCTATTTTGGCAAGCATGACTCTCTAGAGGTGACATTAGACTTGGGAATCCAAAATTCCTGAAAAAGGAAGGAAGCAACCATCTACAACAGGTATGAGCAAATCTCTTTGTAAACTGGGAGTTGGGCAGTTGCCCAAAGGAAGGGTTGCCATGAAAGAACACAAGGTCTGCTGGAAGTAGTATTAGGTAAAACATGTACCCCTGACAACAACAGAGAAGTGGTTTATGCACAAGGTTGGTTGGTTGCAGTAAGGAACAACATAAAGCTCTGACGGTTTTCATCTCTTGCTACTGTG